TATATATATAAATTTTGAAATCTGATCATCCAAACAGGTTTGGATTGCTGACCTTACAGTGAAAAGACTTATTGGATAAATGTTCTTAACAAGAACATTGTGCACGTTGATTCAGGCGCTTAGGTTTCTTGTAAAACATCTGATACATGTGGTTACATTCACAGGAACTGCAGCGAGTCTCGAGGGATAAAGGAGGAAGTGAGACTAGAGAGAAACTTTGGTCCTGATTCTCTTGCAGACAGAGGTCACATTCAAGATTACATGAATTGAAACTGAACAGTCTATTTCATTTCTAAGTATATTTGTCTTCTCTTCCATCAGAAATGCTCAGATGAGATTCATCAGCTGTGACTGTTAACAGTACAGAAGTGGGCAGAGCATTTAAGGCTTTAATGGGACACAATCAAACCAAGAATGGAACACTGGTCAGCCAGTACAATGAACATCAGTCCACAGCAAACCAGTCCATAAAACAGAGCTGTACCTGCAGATTTCTTCCAAATCTGTCAGACTGCTCATCTTGAACTCACTGTTCTTTAGGTTTTCTGGTGTTTCTGCTCTGCTTGTAGCAGCAGTAACACATTGGATGATATGGGTTTAAACTCACTGCGCTCCCTTGATTTACAGTTCACTGCAATGATGGATACACTAAGTTCTGCTTTTCTGTATCACATAATATTACTTTGTAAATACTGCAATATGACCAAGTCACGCTGTTGTGTAACTTAGTTCCTTCACTGAGAAGCTGAATGTCAGATAAAAACAGAATAACAAAAGAAAATAGGATGTGACCTTCTTCCCTTGTAACTGGACAAATTAAGAAGATATTGTGAAACAGTCATACTCATAGCTTAAAAAACAAACATTGAAGTCACTCGGCCTTTCAGGGACGTCTCAGTGATCAGTGTCACTTTGACATTACTGCACAATGGATCAGTTTGGGTAGTTTTCTTTGAAAGACATAACACTGGACTGAGAAGTCAATCCAAGGCCCTCTCCTTCCTTATCACATGCACACACTACCACCTGTGCGTGAAGAAGCAGAAACTTAAAGGTGAACACACTCACATTGACAGCTAAATTCATACGACTAGGGAGGACTCAGTGCAGACATGGCTCCATAAAGTGTCAGGTTTAGTGGAAAGGTATGGACCCAAATGCAAGCCAAACATAAGTCCAGAAGGTTTACAGTAACTTTACTAAGTGTTTCTTGCAAAGCAGATAAAGCATAAAACCAGGTTAGGGTGAAGTGTAGCATAACCAAGCAGCCATTTTGCAGAAACAGTTACGCTGAATAGAAAAACAAAGGCTCTCTAAACAAGAACCAAACCATAAAACTGGGGTAACAGGTAAATGGATTCTGGCTAATGGGGCTATGCATTGAGTAGCAAAGCAGAAAAAACAGCAACAAACAAACAAAACAAAAGTACCTGGGCAAAGATGCTGGAGGAATAAAAAGTATGCAACCAAACAATTAGCATAACTACCTGGGCAAAAATGCTGGAGGAATAACAAGTATGCAACCAAACAATTAGCATAACCCAAATGAGCAAAACACATGGATATTGGGAAATTTCAACTCTGTCTGTATCAAAATGCACATGGAAACATCGACCAGAGGGTGTTTTCATTGAAACTATTGTAATAGGCCATGAAGAAATAGAAAAATATAAATAAGTGCCCAGGTTTGCAAAGTTTACAATTCATTTAATGCATTTTAGATTTGTACCAAAAACTGTTGACATATTAACTTAAGAATCCAAGCGATTTATAAATATTCAAAACAATATTGCAACAGATCACACCGTTAAAAAAAGATTTAAATAAGATTAAATTAGATCCTTTAAATTCTTATATACAATATATGGTTGTTTTAGTGTGCTACAGGAGGTTTGGGTTGGTCTTGGTTTAGGCTACACCAGAGTCCCACTATCCAGCAGATTTGAAAACACAAGCTCATCATCGTCATCGACTTCATCATCGTCTACCTGCAGACAAGTCACATGATTAGTGCCATGCTACAGAGGGGTGGGGTGAAGAGTGTGTTTCTATAGCCAACACCTTTATTGGTCCTTATAGCTCATTGTGTGCACTGACAAATCACAAAAATTAACACCAAGTTACAAATGACTAGACATTACTGAAAGTGTCAATTGGAAAACATCTGTAATCAAGAAGAAGAGGTTGTACAATTTGACTGAATCACAGAGATATATACATTTTGTTGAATGTGATTTATAGATTAGCAGCAGCTTGTTCTGTAATAATTACTTTCATTCAAGTAGATTTCCTGATGGTTTTTAAAAATGAAGTACAGTGGCTCCACTACTGTTCAAAAGTAAATAATACACAGCAGTGCTGCTGGGCCATCGTTTCAGTTTGCTGTCAGCATCTTGGATTTTGCATAGTCAAGTCATTTTTATTTAGATAGATGACACATAATGCAACGGCCCACACAGGACTTTTACAAATAAATGTCAAAACGTGTCAGTGCTACAGCTAAAACTTGTTTTTTCCTTTTGATCCAGTTGATAACATATCTTTAGAAACAGTTGTATGTACCTCTTGGACTTGCTGTTTTGGTTTTTCAGACTTAGACTCTGTGTCCAGAAAGGCCATGTAATGAATCAGGGTGTAGATTCTGGAAAAACACAAACCAACAAAGTTACATTTATGGTAGAAGGAAAACTGATGAGCATCACACACTATGATAGAGAGGCTACTCCACTGATTTGACCGACTGGTTACCTGTGGTACAGCATGGCTAAGAACTGGAAGAGAACCAGCATGGCGAAGGTCAGGATGAACATGAAGCCCAGAGGGTCAACATAAATGTGCTGTCCTGTGAACTGCAGGTTCATGTCGACCATTGGCACCTGGATGAAGATGGATGTCCGAATCAGCTGGAGGGTGAAAGTTGCCATGAGCCAGAAAGCATTGCAAATGAAGTACAGGAAGGTTATCTGTGAGTCAGGAGAAAAAAACGATTTAATTTATAGGCTCTTCATAATAATAAACGATTCATGTATTTGATATCAAAAGTCATCAGTGGTTTTCACTGATGTGTAATGTTTTTCACCACACTGAGACGTAGTCACCTTGTTTCTCAGATGCCTGAGCTCATCTGCCATTTTCTTCTGTTTCTGTTTGTCTTCAGGCAGAGGCTCCAGGTATTTGGCTGTGAGCTCTCTGAAGAACTGCTCCTCATTCTGCAGAGAAATGTAGAATATCTTACAGTAAAGTATTACACATGCTGCTCAAGGTCAAAAGTACAGAACTGGAAAATTACAGATTTTTAAAACCAAGCCACATCAACTGGTGCATGGCAAAAACCCGCGTTATTTAAGAAAGTGTCAATATCTTACTCTTTTAGTATAACATTTGATAATTAGAGTGAACAATGATAAAGAACTGCATTTATACCACCTTTATCCAGTGTGTATAGGTCAAACTAGGCAAGTGCCTAGAGCAGCACTTTGGCTAGGGCGACTTTTAGGGCGAATTGTGGGCCAACCAAAGGCCAGATTGTTGGTATGTTGCAAATATAGTGGAGGAGCAGCATTATTGTTTTGTTGTCTAGAATGGCGGAAGTCACGCGCCAGCCCTGCCTTTGTTTTATAAAAAAAAGACCCACTCATTACATTATGTCTCTTTGAAAAACGAATGTGCACACCAAATGTCAGTGTGTATGCAGTAAAGCAATACTTTGGTTAAAAAAGTGAAGCCGGAGCCTTTGGACTCTATTGGAATGATCACTGTGTCACCTTAATCAAAAGGCTTCCTCCTTTTGGGACTGTGATTATGTGCAGCCATTTTTATCCTGATGAAACAGTTTGGTCTTAGAGCAGAAGAAGACAATTATGTAAAGTATAAGACAAAAAACACACCAGGTCCAGTGTATCCTCCTGCAGGCACATGTCATCAGACAAACTCTGCAGCTGTGTGACCCAGCCTGGACAAAAGACCCACACAGGATAATATTACTCCACATGAAAATGTGTGAATAATCAACTGTTGCAACTGATTTCAGGCTGAGTTTTACTAAAGGTTCTCATTTTAGGGCTTACACTGGTTTGGACAGGTGATAGCAGGCTCCTCTTCTCTAAAACAAAGAAATTACAATTAGCAACAAACTGGTTTACTGTGCATATCCATTCATGGTCTTTTACTGGTTTAAATGTGTGAACAAATAAAACCAAAAATTGACAGTTTCACCAGTAACTAGTCAAAATTAGCAGCGGTTAAACTTTTATGATGGCCAACCACACGGTCACTTTTCCACCTTCAGATCTTACCTGTGCTGCTCCTCAGGCCTCGCCTCATCCTCCACAATCATGTTTTGGAGCTGGGGTGCCTCCACTGACGTGTTCTGCCGGCTGACAATGAGCTCTTCTGCACTGCCTTTCCGGTAAAGCCTTTTACACAGTTGTGCTCGTGAGAAGAAACGTTTGAATGTGCTTTCAGCTGAAAAGATGAGGATCAGTTTCAGAGCTCAAATGTAATATGAAGCAGCACTAATTAAAAGTAATATTTTAGATAAAGGAAACTGCCTTAGTTTGGAACTTGTAACAACATTTCCCTGCAACATAAGCAGTTTTGAAGAACCGTTGACACTATTTTGATTTTTATACTAAAATCTGGTTGAGTAAATTTGGTAATGTCATGACTGATTGTACTGCAGACATATTGAAGTTTAACCAAAATTGAAAAAAGTTACTGGATTTCTCAATAATTAGTCCGGTGCGGCTCAACATGTAAAATGTGTAAATAACTGGTTGTACTGATACCACAGATATCAGGGATCACTTTGTTCTCAAAATATGTAAATTCACAATAATTTATTCTTGGTATTTTACAAGTTTTTAACCAGTTTCTACCTTTCTGGGTTTTAGTCTGTGGAGTGGCAGTTTCAGGTTTAGCAGCTCCAGCAGCAGACGTCATCTCTCTGGTGCCCCAGGACACATTGTTCATGTTGACCATGGAGTAAATAGCCAGCAGCAGGTAGGCACTGGGGACACAGAGAATGTAAAGCAAGCCGTAGAGCACCAGGCCAACCTCCTGAGGATGCATGAGCGCAGTGAGGAGGTAAAAGCCAGCTAGAGTGATGAGGAAGATGCTGCTGGGAGTCAGGATGGTTTTGTCCTTCACCATGTTGCCTGATGGAGGATAAATACATAGAAAATGAAATTCAGATGCAAGAAACCTTTTAGCTTTAGAAGGCTCTGCAGACTGCTGAGTTTGTCTCCAACATACCGATTATGAGAAGTACTGCTATCAACATGAGGAGGGCGTACAGGGCGCTCATGACTGCCGCAATAAGAATCTGAGTGTCTGACTTGATCTTGAAGCTGATACCAAGGAAGACAGCAGGAGGTATCACAGCCAGGATCAGAGCACTGCTGGGATGAATGTCAAGCAGCACAGTCAAATTACCTGAAATGTAAAGAGGAAAAAGCTGACCTCATCATCTGAACCATGTTTTACCACCTGAGCAATAAATTCTGAAATTTCCTCTTATTTTATCAGAAATTAAAATATTGTTGGTTGAAATGTCTTCAGACATTTCTTAATAAGTCCTGTAGATTGACATAAACTTAAATCGTGCACCAATTTCAACAAATCATTGGAAGGTTTAACTGCACAGTTTGCACACTTTGTGGAAAGGGGATTATCAAGCACCTGAACTGGATGTTGATCTGATTAGACTTTTAGAGATAAATGCAATAAAATATTCCCTAGGCAATCACGTTCATTTTAGTGCAGAAACCAGCCTAACCTGCAGTCATAAGGATGACAGCGGATGGTGCCAGGATGGATGAGACCAAGCTGAAGAGTTGGTACAGCATGTAGGGTTTGGACATGGACTGGTTCCTGCTGGTCATCAGAGTGCTGGCACCCAGCAAGTCCACAGTGTTGGCCATGGTGGATGGTCCCCATCGACGACGCTGACAGTGGAAGTAGATTATTATGATATTATGATTCCACTTTCCAAACGAAACTGAGCATTGCACTGTTGTTTTTTGCATGATAATATATTATTTCTGTCTCCAGTGTCTTTGTCTAAAAAAGACATTTATTTTAATGGGAGGTGGAGAAAGCTACAGTATGTTTAGACAGAAGTTGGGAGTTGTGGAGACAAAGTTTTTAAAGTAATGACGTGTCTTTTATTTCAATCACCAAAAGCCAGAGTTAGATTCATTTAAGCTAATTATACTTTCATTTCATATTGACTGATTATCTCCTTATTGAACAAGAGTTTGCACAATAAGCTCTATTCAGAAACTAGAACTGGAAAGTCATCCTAACAAACGTGGATCTGGTCTGAATGGAGTTGCAAGTTTATCTCATCACATCTGTCGCTTATAGGCAACGCTGTGTTGTCCTCCATATCTACAGTAGCAGGCCAAAAATAAGAGTTATATTCTTTTGTATTTACCTGGTTATAAAACTCTTTAAAGTCCTCTGGAGCATTGGTGTAGGCATCAGAGGCTGCGTTGTACTCCACCCTCCATCCCTGCTTCAGCAGCAGAGTGCACAGCCAGCGGTCCTCGCCTACAGACAGCGTTGAGAGAAGTGGAATGAGTGACTGCATCTCAGTTTTAGCAATAGACCACAAGATGCTGTAAAGCCTCTAAGTTTATCGTTACCTTGGTCATACTGGATGTAGTGTCGAGCTTTTGAGGCCTTGATGGTATATGTCTTCATCACATTGTCGTCCATGAGTGCTGCCGCTCTGAACAGGCTGAAGCATCCCGGGCTGCACAGCACGCAGCCCAACACATGCTCCGCTGTTTTGTTAAGCCAGTGACCAACTGCATATTCAAACTTCTGGTACCAAACCATGGGACCTGTCAACAGACCAATGGACCAAGGGTTTATTGTCATATGCACAACAGAGAAATATTTTCTTTGTACAATGAAACATCTGGTTTTAGTTTACTGGTGATTCACCTCAGTTTCTTGCCCCAGTTTTTTTTTTTTTTTTAATTGTATTTGACCAACCTGATCCCGTGGGGTGAATCCTGCCGCACGCCGCCCCGACGAGTGGGTACAGTTGGAGACGATCAACCAGCAGCATCACAGCAGCTGGCTGGAAGTCTGTGTCCCCGTCTAAAGCCAGGAGGTAGGTGTTGTGCTTCTCCTTCTAGCGGAGAAACAGGTACAGTTTTACATTTAACTTTTGATATAGAATTATATGAATATGTGTTTGCAACGGTTTATATCTGAGCATGTATGTGCAGCCTCGTGTTTTCTGTCACCGCACCTGAAACTTTCTTTTCAGCTCAGACTCATCCTCTCCTTTCTCCCACCTTTTGTAATACTTGGACGCAAGTTTCCAGCCCAGGAGGTAGTAGAAGTACATAACCTGCAAAATATCACATAATATTCAACATGCACTAACAGAAACATATCTTTAACCGACATTCTATGATTATCATCATCAAACGATTAATTTATACAGTCAGGGAAAAAATTATTTGAACCCCAGCTGATTTTGTAAGTTTGCCCACTAACAAAGAAATGATCAGTCTACAATGTCAATGGTAGGTTTATGTGAACAGTGAGACACACAACAATAACAAAAAAATCCAGAAAAATGCATTACAAAAAAAGTTATACAATAATTTGCATTTTCATGAATGAAATAAGTATTTGATCCCTTTGCAAAACGTGCTTTAGTACTTGGTGGCAAAACCTTTGTTGGCAATCACAGAGGTCAGACGTTTCTTGTAGTTGGCCACAAGGTTTGCACACATCTCAGGGGGGATTTTGACCCACTCCTCTTTGCAGATCCTCTCCAAGTCATTAATGTTTCGTGGCTGATGTTTGGCAACTCGAACCTTCAGCTCCCTCCACAGATTTTCTATGGGATTAAGGTCTGGAGACTGACTAGGCCACTCCATGACCTTAATATGCTTCTTCTTGAGCCAATCCTTTGTTGCCTTGGCCGTGTGTTTTGGATCATTGTCATACTGGAATACCCAACCACGACCCATTTTCAATGCCCTGACTGAGGGAAGGAGGTTCTCACCCAACATTTGATGGTACATGGCCCCATCCATCCTCCCTTTGATGCGGTGCAATTGTCCTGTCCCCTTGGCAGAAAAAAAACCCCAAGGCATAATGTTTTCACATCCATATTTGACGATGGGGACGGTGTTTTTGGAGTCATAGGCAG